AAAAATGATAACAGTAAACAACGAAAACGACCGCGACCCCAAAAAAAAAACTCGGAAACCGGAAGTCGCACAGACACTGGACCCGACCCATCGGGCAGCCTGAGAAACTCCGAGCAAAAGCACCCCCCGTGGACAGTACATTGGGAAGCAAACGGAAACGGAATTACGAAGAATCGGAGCCATGTGGCTCTCAAGAGCAACCAGACGACCGACGATGGCACAAGTACCGACCCCGACCCATCGAACGATCCGAAATTATGCAAACCAGGGTGGCCCGGAAAACCCCAATCGACGAGCCGGCCCCAAAAACGGCAATAAACGACGAAATACGCTCACGGCCCCAGGACGGTCCCCCGAAACCGGAAGCTACGCAGACACCGAACCCGACCCACTGAATAACTCAGGAGACTCCGAACAAAAGTATTCCCTATCACTGGACCACACAACAATAAAAATAAACCCTCTAATTACAAATAACACCGAGACATCGGTATCGAGGCCGAAAATAAAAACACAGCTGACTGCAAATGAGTATTCACAATTAAAAACGGTGAACCTGAAATAAACGAAATACAAAGCACGCGTTACCACCTGAGGTTCCAGCCAAGAGTACATGGTTAACTTCGATAAAGCACTTGCACCGGCTGCCAGAGCTCCAAGCCTTCAATCTACTGCAGCACCTGCAAACAAACATAACCTATCAATTCACCATACGAACGTCGAAACGACACTTCTAAATGGTATACTAGGAGAAAACCCATACAAAGGCCCCAGAAGGCGTAGACGACGCCACATCCCCGCGTATGTTACCACATCCATAAAATGTCACATGTCACTCCCTTCGCATTTCTAGGTATAACCCCGCATCTAATTCTTCGCACGATAACCCCTTCAACAGAAATAACTCCAGCCAACAAAAACCTGGAAATGACAGGAACTAAGTAGCCACAACCAATAATTACCCTATACAAACAATAAACAACCAACCACTCAACAAAAAAGAGCCACCATTCCAATACATATCAATATTACTACACACACATATAATCTCTCGCTCGAACAAATCACATCGTATATGTATACACATGCATAACCTCTCGCTTGAGCAACAGCATAGAATACGCAGAGAGAGACAGAGAGCGCTCACTCCGGGGCCTCCGCACCCTCCACGCTAGTGCTGCACCTGGCGATCAACTCGGGAAGCGGTGATAAGAAAGGACTACCTGGTCTGGCTCGCGTTCCATTAACGTACAATTTGCTCAAACTCCGGAAATAAAAAAAATAAGTTCAGAAGTGAAGTTTCTAAGTTAATGCGTTGTCACACATTAATCGAAATTAACTTCAAACATTTGGTCCTTCGAGCCGGATTTGCTCGCAAATTGGCGACTTCCATCGACGCGCGAGTGCAAAGTGCATCGACCACCGTGTGGAACATCTAGAACGTGAACGGTCGAACGATTTCCAGGACAGCAAAGTGGTCAACATCATCTAGGATAAGTTAAAAACTTTATTCAAATATCCGTTGCGTGACGGTTGCATTTGAACGCGCAAAGTAAACAGAGGTCGCGCCGACCTTTCGCATCGCGAATACAAAGACAAAGGTGGCAAAAAACGAGTCCGATCAAACCGTCGCGAGGAGTTTTCGTTTTCTTTGTGTATGCTGTTTTTTGCTTTCGCGACCGTAATAATTTGAACTGAAATGAACTTTCATAAACATGAATTCAAATACGTTCGACGAACTATTACGCGAGCAAGAAGAGATCGCTGGCCGAATACAGCGATTCTGGCTAAACGTAACAAAACTCGGCAAAGAACGAATCACACGTTCAGTTATAGAGCAACGCCGGACCCTCTTAGAGCGGTATTGGAACGCGTTCTTTGAAAGTCATCGACAGTTAATGCGCTGTAAAGAGGCGAGCAACAGTGTCTACGTCCAACAAGACACGTTCGCTAATGTGGAAGAAGCGTATCTTCACGCCGCAAGCATGCTAGCGCAGGTCTTGGCCGAGTGTTCGTCAAAGGGCGAACCTACTGCATCCACTTCGGCAGCGCCTCAGCCGCAATTGCCAAAAATTGCGTTGCCGACCTTCTCGGGAGACCCCTTGCAATGGGAGAGCTTTCGAGATCTATTCAAGAGTCTGGTTCACGACGTGCCCCAGCTCTCGGACGTGAGGAAGCTGCTATATTTAAAATCTAGCCTCACTGGAGCAGCAGCCGAGGTTATTAAAAATACCCCAGTAACCGATGCCGGGTATCGCGGAGCCTGGGAAGATTTGGACGCGCGTTACGGCAACTCACGTATTCTGTCCTTCTCCCACCATCGCAATCTTCTGTCTTGCCCATCCGCGAAACACCAATCCTCCGCGGAATTAAAGAGACTCTTGGATACCTTCCGGCAAACAATTCGAGCCTATTCCACTCTGCGCAAGCCGGTTGAAGCCTGGGACGAATGGTTTATGTACTTGCTTAGTCAGAAGCTTGATAAGGTGACGCACATGGCATGGGAAACATCCCTTACCCAAAGCCGGGACATTCCGAGTTTCCAACAACTATCCCAATTCCTAGAAAACCGAATTCAAGCGTTAGAAGCCGCCCAGTTGACCGATCCGTCTTTCGCGTCTACGGCGAATAAGCAATCGTTACCCCGGGCGCGAGATGACAAGCCGCGAAAAAATGAATCCACTATACTGACTTCTTCGGCTAAACCCGTGGCTTCTCGGAAGTGTCCCTTATGCTCCGGAACGCACTCGCTTGGTTACTGCGCCAAGTTCAAAGCCCTGACAGCTCTACAACGTCGAGATCGAGCCCAGCAGTTGAAAGCCTGCTTCAACTGCCTGAGTATAGGTCACGCAACTTCCAAGTGCCCGTCGACTCACTCCTGTCTTGCGTGCAACCAGCGTCATCACACGCTGCTACACGATACCTTGGGAGACGATTCAAAAAGGACGACGGTACGGGAAGTAACTCCAGCGTTTCAAACCGCTGGTCTGACGGAAGATGCCAACGCAGCTGTTTCCATGACGGTCACCGCGAGATCCACAGCTCTGCTGGCCACTGCAAAGGTGCGAGTCGAAGGTCCGACTGGAGACTTCCTGGACCTCCGTGCACTTCTAGATACCGGGTCAGATATATCCATCGTGAGTACCTGGGTGGTGCAAGCCTTGCGCCTCTCACGGCGACCGGTCCGGGTGGCCATTTCTGGAATCCAGGAAAAGGAGAGCGGTATATCGAGTTCGGAGGTAGACATACTGGTACGGTCCAGAATAGATCCGGGCTTCAGTCTACCGGTGCGAGCCTTGGTCCTTCGTAAGCTCACTTCTTGCTTGCCATCGCAGCCAGTATCATTAAAATCCTGGCCACACTTGGCGGGGCTAACGCTGGCGGATCCGGACTTCGGACTTCCCGCCCGCGTTGATTTAATTCTTGGCGCTGATGTGTGTGGCGAGCTGTTACAGGACAGTTCGCGTCATGGACCTCGCGGGACTCCGATTGCCAAACAAACTCCCTTCGGCTGGGTATTGATGGGGCCTGTTCCAGATGACTCCAGTCAAAATAGCATGACCGTCCGCAGCCTTCATTGTCGTTCCGAAGAGACGACGAATTCTATTCTTCAACGTTTTTGGGAGTTGGAGGAGCTAAATTATCCGCCCCCCTTGAGTGAGGAAGATGAACGCACTGAGCAGCATTTTAAAGACACGCACGACCGGCTACCTTCCGGTCGGTACAGGGTCCGATTGCCGTTCAAACTGGATCCAGAAAAGAATCTGAGTCATTCTCGGGCAACCGTACTCCGACTGCTGTTAAATTGCGAGCGGCGTGTTGCCAACAATCCCGCTTTAGCCTCAAAGTATGAGCAATTTATGGAGGAGTACCTCTCGTTAAAGCACATGGAGCCGGCGAAGCAATCGGAGACTCGTAAGTCATACTACCTCCCGCATCACGCGGTGACAAAGAAGCACGATCCCTCTGGAAAGCTTCGGGTCGTCTTCAACGCTTCTTTTCCTACTGCGACGAGGTATTCGTTGAACGACTGCTTAGCGGCCGGTCCTAAACTGCAGTCGGATTTATGGATGGTCCTAACCAGATGGAGGCTTTATAAGGTGGTATTCACTACCGATATAGTAAAGATGTTTCGGCAGATTCAGGTACATCCTGAGGACACGGATTGGCAGCGAATCCTTTGGCGCATTCGCCCGGACGATCCAGTCCAAGATTACCGACTGACCACCGTCACATACGGCACAGCTTGTGCGCCATTTTTAGCCCTCCGAGTACTTCGTCAGCTGGCTGAAGATGAGAGAGAGCGTTATCCTGCTGGGGCGAATATTATAGAGAGCCACTCTTACGTGGACGACATCCTCGCAGGCGCCGAAGATGAAAACCAGGCTCGATCGCTGAGAGAGGAAGTAATTTCCATCTTCAGGGCCGGAGCTTTTGAGCTCAGCAAATGGGCCTCGAATATGCCGGAGTTAAAGGAACAGGACTCGGATTCTCGTCTGTTTCAGGACGTTGCTGGAGTTAGCACCCTGGGAGTTCTATGGACCCCGGAAAGAGACACCTTCTCTCTGCGGGTGCTTCCTGCAGTGTCAAAACAACCCGGGTATACCAAACGCAAAATTCTTGCTGAAATTGCAAGTTTCTTCGACCCGCTAGGTTGGGCTGCACCGGTCTTGATCTATGCCAAGATATTGATGCAAGACCTCTGGATTCTGGGAGTCGAGTGGGATCAAGAACTCCCCGAAGAGGTGCGCTTACAATGGTGTCGATTCCGGACTTCCTTGGACCAGCTCGACGCTTTGTCCATTCCCCGTTGGACAAATTATTCGAAGAGTGCGCGGAGCGTAGAACTTCATGGCTTTTGTGATGCTTCACAAAGAGCTTATTCCGCCGCGGTGTATATGAGAGTGGCATATGCGGAAGATACCTCTACCGTTTTACTTGTCGCCAAAACCAAGGTCGCTCCGGTCAAGGCGGTCAGTGTACCCAGACTGGAGTTGTGTGGAGCGGTACTCCTTGCCAAACTTCTCGTGACCGTGAAGAATGGACTCGACGTTACCACGACAATCACAGCGTGGACAGACTCGAGTGTGGCACTCTGCTGGATCAAAGGGCATGCTTCGTTGTGGAAGCCGTTTGTGGCTCACAGAGTAGCCACCATACAGGGCCACATCCCATCTAATTGCTGGAGACATGTGGGGACAGCTAGTAATCCCGCAGATTTGGCGACCCGAGGTATCCAACCTTCCGAACTTTTGTCTTCGGATCTATGGTGGAAAGGACCACCTTGGTTACAGGCTTCGCCTGCTGCGTGGCCGGCTCCGATGTTACAGGATCCAAAATCAGCGGAGTTGGAAAGGGGAACCGCCCAAGTACACGCGGCTCAAGTTAAAACGCAGCATCAAACAGATCCGCTTCTGAACCGATTCTCCACCCTTTCCCGCCTCCTCTCAGTCATTAGCTACTGTTTCAGGTTCAGTCGGCTAACCAAAGGGCAACCTGCGGAAACGGGTTTTTTGAGAGCTGCAGAGCGCGCCTCAGCTCTTCGAGCGGCGCTACGTATCTCTCAAGCCACGACGTTTCCAGACGAGATTGTCCAGCTTCAACGGACAGGGAAACTACGGCCGAAGTCACCGCTCGCCGCTTTGCAGCCTTTTCTGGATGATGGCGGACTATTAAGATTGGGAGGAAGGCTTTCCAACGCACCGCTTCCTTACAATGAACAACACCCGATCATTGTAGCAAAAACCTGCCCTTTAGCTACGCTTTTGGTGAAGGATGCTCATCTGCGACTTCTCCACGGGGGTCCGCAGGAAACCAGAAGCCTCCTCGCCCAGAAATTTTGGATATTACGGGGGAGAACGTTGGTGCGAGCTATTATCAAAGGATGCGTGCGTTGTGCCCGGTTCAGTGGAAAGCCTGCCAGTCAACTGATGGGTCAGTTGCCAGCAGCGCGTGTGACTCCCCAGCGAGCGTTCCTCTCCACCGGAGTGGATTATGCTGGGCCTATCCTGCTTCGAACATCCGCAGGACGGGGCCACAAAGCATACAAGGGCTATATCTCGCTCTTCATTTGCCTAGCTACAAGGGCAATCCATCTCGAGGTCGTGTCGGATATGTCAGCCTCGTCATTCTTAGCAGCCTTTCGTCGATTCGTTAGCCGTCGAGGTCGTTGCACAACCCTGCTGAGCGACAACGGCACGGTGTTCCATGGGGCCGACAGGGAACTGCGAAACCTCTTCAACGGAGCTTCGGATTTCTATGGCGAAGCGGCAGCCGCTCTTGCAGCCGATGGGACGGATTGGAGCTTCATCCCGCCACATGCGCCTCACTTTGGCGGTCTATGGGAGGCAGGGGTTAAAACCGTAAAATATCACTTGAGGAGAGTCATCGGCGATTCCAAACTCACTTTTGAAGAAATGTCGACCCTCCTTTGCCAAATCGAAGCTTGTGTTAACTCACGACCGCTGCACGCGCTTTCGGATGACCCATCCGATCTGTCGGCACTCACACCCGGTCACTTTCTAATTGGGGAGCCACCATCCGTTGTTCCAGAACCCGAGGAGGAGCCGAACCGCTCGGCTTTGTTGTCCCGTTGGCGTCAAATAACACAAATGCGCTCCCATTTTTGGCACCGCTGGAGGAGGGAGTATATTCAACACCTCCAACAATTGACAAAATGGCGCCAACAACGAGAAAATCTGAAGGTCGGGAACCTTGTCCTCATACGGGACGACATATTACCTCCGACAAAGTGGAAGATGGGACGCGTCGCTGAGTTGCACACTGGGCAGGATGGATGCGTTCGAACGGTAACCGTCCGAACGGAGACGGGCTCGCTGTTACGGCCCATCGTGAAGCTTTGCCTCCTACCAGTCGCTGACGAAAACGACAACTCGCGGTCTCCGCCGGGCTCACCGGTAACGTGAGACTATTCAAGTTACATGCATTTTCCCGTGACTGAGCTCACGGCGGGCGGTTCGCTGTCGGCAACCCCCAGTTTCTTTAGTTGAACACTTATCATTATGAATAGCATTTGTAAATTTGTACTTTCTTTTCTTTTAAGAGACAGGGCCCCACTAAATGTGATGGTCTTGTCTTTGCCCTGCAAAGAGGCGGGCGGTATGTTCGAGCAACGGACGTATGTTTTAAATCCGACATCGGTGACGACCGCGAGCGTTGCGTTTCTCCCGCTCCGACTACCTACGTAGGCCGGCGAGGTAGACGGGGGGGTCGGTGTGGCGCCAAACTTCGGCGATATTCGCGAGCACCGATGATCGATCGCTATCGATCAGTTACTCTGGTTACAGCCTTTGTTATGAGTGAACGTCCTTTTCTTAAAAGTCGTTATTTTCTTTGCGAACGAAATGCTTCGCTGCCGAACAGTGCTTCGGAATCTTTCCATATTTTAAATAATTGGTTTTAAGAGACTTGTACAGAGAATTAATAGTATTAAGTGTAAATACAGTGCTAAAATAAGACATTTAAGTTTTGTTAAATAAGAAAAG